ATACTCAAACTACATATTGTAATCTTTTTTAGTGCCTTCAGGTGCGTGCATTTTATCATTTATTTCTATTAAATTAAAAGTAAGCAAAAACGGCGTTTATCGTATGCCTTTTTAAAATATATAAATATATATTAAGTTGTCAATAAGTTGAAAAAATTCGACGATGAGATGTAGGACTCGGTAGCTCAATTGGTAGAGCAACAGCACGGAACGCTGACGATGCCGGTTCAAGTCCTGCCCGAGTCGAAAAATTTATTTTCGATTTTTAAATTAGATATATATTTCTTTATTTTTTTGTTATAGTAACAACAGAAGTCATTCTAAAAGTATCTTATCTATCGCACTAGTTGCGTTACAGTCTGGCAACAGGTAGACAAACAACTTAGTTAAAAAATCAGAATACATAGGTAGTAGGTGTGTAATCGTATTCGCTTGTATATAAAATGATGCATTATAATTTTTTTTCTTTGTCTAGATAATTTTAAAAGTGAACATACGAACTAAATGAAGTTGAGTTTTATTTCGAATGAAGTTTCATAGCGTCACGTACGAAAGACAATTTTGAGTATAACACTCACGCGAAGTTAATCTTTGTTCACTCATAATATTATTCTATCCCATTTCGTTTTAGCGCAGTGTATTTCCACTACAAAGAAATACCTAACAGCCAGAAATAGCTATTACTTCGCGAAACTGGTATAAGCTTTCCGAGAAATGCAGAGCTTCTTACTACATTCTCTATATTTTACACCTGTAAGGCTCTGCCTGTAATAATTCCGACTGCTACGCGTAACATCGTTAGAATTTTATTTTAATCTAAGTTTTCCTTTACGGATTTTTATGGAATACAAATTAAAAAATTATAACATGTTACCTAAAATTACCTAATATATTACGCGTTTTAAACCGTTAAATGTTTTATTTTAATTCGTGTGAACTTCAGATAATTTTTCAAAATTTCTTAAAAGCATCCCAAGAACCGTAGTTTTAATTGTTTGTACATGGCTTAAGAAATATGTACCTACTAAATACTGTCAGTAGTTTACGCGAGTAGTACACATGTAAATAAAATATTTTAACGGTTTAAAATGCGATATATATTAAACTTATTTTCAAACCATGTTAAATAAGGCCCGACGTTTCGGATGCTTTAAAATCTATTTGAAAATCTTCTTGTTATTGCTTAAACGCGGTTGTAATTTAGAACATTAAAGAATTCTAATGCGCAAAATACTGAACAAATAATTGTCGTGTTTAAAAAGTATTTCTACGTAGTTTTTATCTTACTTTAAAACAATGGAGTACTAGAAGATTTTAATTTTTTACAGTGAATCGCTTAGTTTTATTTCACGCTACAGTCTTCACTTGCTTTTATGAAAGCACAGTTTTGAACGATATTAAAAATATTGAGAAAAACAAATGCTTTAATGGCAATTCTATGCATTGTTCGTCGAGTTAAATCACCTTTGCCTTATGCTGGTCATAACAGACAAACTTATGTGTCTGTATGATTTTTTATGATAAAGGAGAACAGATGAGATCACTTGGTGTAAGGTGGAATGAGCCAATAAAACAAGATGGATATTCGGAATCCATAGATTGAAAGTTTAACCGTAGAATTTTTCACATGTTACCCATGTAACATCCAGACTTCCAAACGAAATCCTGTATGTTTCAAAAAAGTTATAAACTAATACGAAACATTTTGAACAAGTCTATTGATCTAATTGTAGCAAATTGATTTTATTACCCTATTCGTTTACGTTTGATAGTCCTTTAAAACGTTTTTAACTCAAATAATAAAAATGTATAATTCTAAATCAACAGACTATCGTTGCGAGGCGAATAATGGAGTTTAGTTCTATAATTGCTCTATAAATACGTCTGCGTATTTTAGGATCATTAATTATTGTTACTGTGTACGTTTGGCCTGAGTTTAGTAGTTATTTGTTGAGTCGGCCTTTAATGATGTTTTGTCATTAATTGTAGTGTTAGGTCTACTTATTATATATTGAATGATCTTTTTGTCGCATTATCCAGGTATACTTTTTAAAATAATATATAGATGTTCTTCACGTTCAATGATGATTAATGTAGAATTGTATTTTCAATTAAGTGAACGGTCATTGCGGAATTTGTGCACCGCGATTTTATCAATATATATCAAAATAGGCGGACCGCGCATCTTGTTTCATATGTCCATCTAATTGGGGTATTTGAACTACCATCAAGTGAACTCCAGACTTGTCTGTCCTTCTCTATCATTAAAAAAATACTAGTATATTTACAAACGCGAAGACACCGTTAGTCAATTCTGTAAGGACCCGGCCAGTTTCGCCAAATACCAACTTCGACGGAACAGATGGCGCCAGCGTAGCAATTTTTTACTTTGACGTCAGAGACATCCTCCATCTTTAGTCTCCCCGTGACCACGGCTGCTGCAAAGCATCCGAAACGTCGGGCCGAAGTTAAAAACCATTTTCAAATAAGTTTAACTAATATATCGCGTTTTAAACCGTTAAAGTGTTTTATTTAAAAATAGTATATATAATATAGTTTTATTTATACAGAAGAAGTATTTTTAAAAAAGGGAAATAAATTTTGCTTTCTTTCTAACCAATGGCACCGCCTCATAGAATTATTTTAGAATAGACTAGCTGTGCCAGCGACTTCGTCCGCGTAGAATAGTTATTTTGGGTATCAATTTTTGTTTTTGCAAACCTCCCGTTCAACTCTATAAATTTAAACTGTTACCCACGACGTCGTCCGCGTTTCGTCATTTTTGCAAGTAAATTTTAAAAGATAGAGATAAAGCATCGCGGACGTTTTTTTAGATCATTTAAAGCAAAATCATCCTTTCGTACAATTTTTTGGCTTTTGAACCGTTTTCGCAGCGTACGCAATGGAAACCCAAAAGGATGAATAATTTTCCCCGTTTTATCGACATTTTCCGCTGTTTCTTCGCTTCTATTAGTCACAGCGATATGTTTTATATCCTAACTCTTCAGCTTTATATATAAGTATAGATTATATAAAGTAAGTTAATCGTTTGAAGTAAACGTGTACAGTATTGGTATGACATTTTCTTCACTGAAAATACCATACTTAATAGACGTGACGTCAAATTTATCTCTTAACAATACATATAACAAGCACAAATTATTGTCTCCGTGAACGTCAACATTTTAAAGCATATATCAGACAAATAGACAGTTATTAGAACGGATTTTACGATCTACAATCGCAAACTAAGACAACAGATTAGTCAACATTCAACGCAATTTATAGTCAAACGTTATACCGTTAAGCGTTACATTTACGAGACTACGCTCTTTGTTGAAGTAAACATTACACTTCCGGTAAGCAATGTTTAAAAATAGAAGCCGCGCTGAGTGGTTAAACTCACTGACACATACAATACCTGTTATGGATGTAGAGCAGAAGTAAGTAAAAGTTGGTAATGAAAGAAGTCTAAATAATATTACTATAGTAATTTAGACTGGAATATTTTTAACCCTTTCCTCTATATGATGCGCAGGGTAGGCGTATTATAATTATAATTTTGATAACAATAAAATAATTAATATAAACACAAATTAAAAGTGGTGTAAAAAGGGTCTGTTGTCAACATAAGTTGTTGCCTAGTTGGTATAAGACTGATTTTCAGCTAAGCATTGGTGTTCGTCTGTGTCATTCGGCAGAGCACATACTAAAGTAAAAAATATAAATAAGTAGAGTACCTATGTAGTCATTAGTATAGTTGGTGTCATGCTCTGCTAGTTAAATAAAATGCTTTACAATATTTTTATATTATATAATGTTTTTGTATGTATTACACTATATCATTAGTAATACTTATTTTCCTAAGATTAGAATCCAGGCCCTTTCGGTTTTTCACAATTCTAAGCAAGGCGTCTAAACATTGACATAGGGCTGTTCCCATTAGATAAATACGTGAAAATGCATTATTTTTCAAATGATTATGCAACTATTTCAACTTTAAGGAAATGTAATTCATAGGGTATTTACAAACAAACTAAGGAAAGTAACGATTTGTGCATATATATATTTCTAAACTAAGCATTGGCGTGATTGCCTCTGTGTAATATTTTATAATAGTACAGATAAATAGACAATAAGTAATTGTTATGTAACCGAGATGCTATTAATTCAACAATAGGAATAATGTAACGATAACTTTGATGTCGGCATCAAAAAGGCAATAAGACAGAATGTGTTCGTGCCGGCTTGCACGGTAATGGTCTAATAAAATTAGTGTAATCATTTAGCAAAAATGCCTTCGTACGCAGCGGTCTAAATGATTATCATTAACTGGGAGTAATGTCATTAGACGTGAGCGTGTGAGCAGACACAGAGGTAAAGTTCAGGCCACAAACGGACGAGGAAAGAAAATATCTTAATCTGATAATTTGCCAAACAAACATACATATGTTGTTCATTAAAATGCGTATAAACTATGTAAAGTTTGAAGTCAAGTCCCGGCCATTTAACTTTTTATTTTATTTGTATAAGCTTCTATGTGCCATCACTAAAACAAAACAATGCAAATAATGATTCGATATAGAATTTTAGATGTTAGATTTTTTTTCTCTAAAATTTAAGTTTAACTAACACGCATATTTTAAATTTAGTTATTTTATTTGATAATGTTAATGTACATAAGACCTTACATAAAACGAGTCTGTGATTTTAATTTTTTTTTTAACATTAACTAATTTTGTGGTTTATTATTCTAAATATTACTTTTAAATTTATTGTATGATTATCAATGTTTCAATAATTATTGAAAGAAATAAACAGTTTCTTTAAATTGAATATTTATATTCATGAGACCCGTCCACTCCTCATCTTTTGCTCTTTAAATCAAAACACTTGTTTATAACTCGTATATCATAGCAACAAAGCAATTAACCCGAGTTAAAAATACATCCCGTATATAACGACGTGTTTGTCCGTTTGAGTGATTTATAGAGCTCATTATGAGGAGCAGCGGGTGTCTTACTGAAATATTCCGCTTTTTGTTTTCTGCCCTCATTCCGTTTGCGAAACGAGATCAAATGCTAAGTAAACGAGCTGGAACACACAATAGTTAGTGCGAGGCGCGTCGACACACAGACGACAGACGAACACACGCAGTCAAGGGACCGCAATCCGATCTCTGACCGGACATTCGGTTCAAAGAAAAAGTTTGGCTTAATTTTGACAAAACTGCATACCAAAAAACAACGTACTAATAAACGCGGAGACACCGTTGGCCAATTTTGCGAGGACCCCGCCAGTTCCAGAGTACCAAGTTCGACGGAATAGATGGCGTAGCAATTTTTACTTTAACGTCAGAGACACCCATCTTTAGTCTCCCCGCGACAATGGCTGCTGCAAAGCATCCGAAACGTTGGGTCGTAGTAAATAATTTTCAAATAAGTTCAAGTAATATATATCGCGTTTTCAACAGTTAAAGTGTTTTGTTTAAATGTACAACATTCAATGTCAATTATTATTTGTATAAATATTTGGCTCTTACTGAGAATTAACATCCTTGGTGCACGGTCAACATCCATTCCAGTTCAGCAAGTCTGTATAAAATAAACTACAGATCCACAAGGCCCCCAAAATATAATAATAAAATATCCATCTACGAGTTGTTGAATGCATTGTCAACGAACTCAAAGGCGACTCAAATACAGTTAACGTCAAGTTATGTTTTGCTTTCACATTTTTCAAACCACTTATTCGTTCTGAGCACAAAGCACTTTTATTGTCCACTTTATGAACAATAGCTGAAAACCCTCTGAGGTTTTAATTTACAGTAAAGTTACAATTTTATTGAGAATTTTTTTATGGCCAGTACACAGTTGTTAAGCTGAAGTAACAATTGCGTGGCGTTGCAACTTGAAAGCGTTGTACAAAATAATTACAACATAGTTTTTTTATTACCTGAAAACCTGACTTCAAGTAAAGTTGCAAAGCAATTAGGAAAAGACTTCAGCACATAAGCTACTAATAATTTAAATTAACAACATAATATGTAAATCACATCTTTAAATAAAAGTAAAGGTTATTTTTGTCTCTATCACTTTTTCAATTTAAACTTAAGGGACAACAAATGATCCAAAACAAGATGAGCAAAATTGTTAGTCTTTTTAATGTAAATCAATAATTCAGCTTTCACTGCAACTTTGGTCATAGCGGTAAAACTATAAGCTTATGTGTGGCATAAAATCCTTTGGTTTATGCCTCAAGTTCTGTTGCTCAGTAAAAGTTGCTACTGGATCCTAGGTTCAGGCTATAAAACTAGTACCATGTTTTTAAACTTGTATGACAATGGATAATTTATAGTGCTAATTTTTTTCTCATTATTATCTATATATTATCCATGCTTGCAAAAAGTGCTTGTCCCATTTAAAGGAACTTAAGATGTACCATTTTATTATTTGCTGTTGAAATTAGAAAGATTATCGTCCTTTAAGATCCATGACAACTTATTATGTATTTTAATATAAGTAGAAATTCTCTACAATCTGCTTATTAGAAGAAACACTGAAAAGACGTTTTCATTTAAATAAAACACTTTAACGGTTTAAAACGCGATATATATTAGTTAACTAACGATTATTTACTTGCGAAAACTACACACAGTATTTAAAGACGTTTTCATTTAAAATATTTTAGATTAAAATAATAATCTAGACAATCTTAAAGAAGACACAATTTCTTAGTATGTTCAAAAAAATCTCTCAGCAGTTTCCAATAAGAAAACCAATACGTCATAAGCGAAGTCAATATTAGTACTTTCTTACATCACTGAAGCGCATATGATTGCAGTGTTGTGATCTCATAAAATAAGTTATTACGTACAGCGGTTGAAGAGTGAACCTTTTTTATCACCGAATCGATTCATAAAATAAAGACAAGGACTCAATCTGTTCAAGTTACGAGGGTACTTAATTAAGTACAAGATGAACGATGGCGATCCGAGGATCATAAATAGATCATAAATGTTGCTGAGCCACTGATTCGGTTATCCGGTTATCCGGTCGGACTGCAAAGGACTCTAAATATGTAGGGTTAATTTTGCACAGGAATAAAATTATTTGCAAAAAGCTATTCGCGTGATTGTGGTAAAGCATTTTAACGTTAAAGGAATCTTTAGTTTAATGACGTTTATATATTATGTTCAACCAAAATATTGACATTTACTTAGTGACATTTTAAAGTCTTTTATTAGTTTGGTTTGGAATTGCTCTTTACAATGATATGACAAAATTTAATTTCTATCATCACCCATTAGTACTCGTAAACAACATCCATTAGTTAGTGTATTTTATTATTATATTATAAATAATTCTACTTCATCTTAACGCACGGCGATCCGAATGTAAAGACATAATTTTTGCATAATTTTCGATCAATCATATTTTTTTTATATTACATTACATACAATAATCTTATCTTACATAATCGTCAATTACTTTTTAATTTGTTAATAAATTTATTATTATAAAACATTACTTTAACATAAAATAAACAATTTAGATTGAAAAAAAAACGGGACGCAGCGTTCCGTGCTAATCTGACCAACTACCGCGCCATATTGTCATTCGCTAGGAATCCTTTTTTTATAGCGATATAATACTAACTTGAAATTATGCGTGATAAACTGAGAACTTTTATTTTATCTTACACACCAATGATTTATATAAAACACTTTAAACGGTTTAAAACGCGATATACAAACATCGGGCTGTAGTTAAAAATAATTTTCAAATAAGTTTAACTAATGTATATCGCATTTTTAACCGTTTACGGGTTTAATTCAAATATACTCGCGTAAACTACAGACAGACCTGTGATTGTTTACAAGATCGCGCTAAAAAGTCTTATCGCACGCCACTTGCTAGGCTTAGCCCACCTGAGCTAGTATCACTTTTAGTCCTACTATCAACCAAATGTTGAAGTTAAATGTGCAAACATTTTACGAACATAAAACGTAGTCACATAGGCGGAGGTGCGTTAGACAAATAATTTGTCCGAATGGGCCATAATGTTTGCGAATTAAACATTAACACTGAGTAATAAACACGAAATGGCACACATTCCTCGTGTTTCAATCTCACACACACATACTGGAGTTAGGACGAACAAATTTGTACAATTTATAACGTGGCTTCAGTAACTTCTCAAGTTTTGTCTCGAGGTAATACAGTCAAAAGTTTCACGACACGTAAATCTTACCCCTGTAGGGCTTTTTTAGAGGGATGTTATTTGAGAAAGACAGTCATGGGGTCGATGGAAGGTGATATACCACAGTTATTATAATATCTAAAGAGCTGTTGACCTATTTTCGCTTTGGATATTCAAAAATCCACAGATACCCTGCTACAAATTTTTTTTACTCATGATTATGGCTAACAACGCCATAATATATTTATTCAAGTGTTATATTATATAAATTATAGATTTAATGTCGTCTTTTGTTTGAAAAGATACTACAGCGCTTTGTAACACTTGCTTTCTACTACTTGCTTTACTTTGATCAATTAAGCTACCATGTCTCGCACGTACAAATTAAATTATATGTAATTTATTTAATGACTGAACTTATTGACTGTATGCAATACTCTTGTCGGACATTGAGACAGACATATGTCTGTTTTACTAAAGTATTATCAAACTCCTATGCCCTGCCGGACCGAAACTATAAATGCTTCGACTGAACACTAGGCTATACGTTCAACCACAAGGGCGATACTTACTTACTCTTGAAAAGAACATTAGATAGATAAACTGGTCTTCGATCTTAACATAACTATACTATTTAATCAACATAGTACACCCTGAGCGTTACAGCGGTCGAAATATTTCGTTGAAAACTTTTACATTTGAGCACAGAGAATGGTTTCGTGTGATTTTTTTGACGTTTTTTTTTGTAGCAAAGTTTACTGTACCCTTGACCTACATACGCTGCCAAAGAATCACTCATGTTGCGGCAAAATGAGAGAAACAAAAGAACTATGCCTCTGTTCTGTTGAAATACTCTTTATTGCGTTCCGAAAATTATGTTGATACAACGTTTTAACGAGAGTGATATGATTGTTTATAGTGTTTCGTAACCAAAGAGTGACAACGGAACCCACTTCATTCTCTGTCAGTCAGTCTGTCCGTACATATATTATAACGCATATAAATATTTAAAAAGATTTCCAAACAATAGGCAATATATTATAGACAAGAAACGCGATTTCGTAGCCCCTTTTAAATTGATTTTGACCAATCGATAAAATATGATGTTTCTTTTTCGGCTATTGGTTCAGCGCTGGAACAAATAGATGTGGAAGTATTTCCGCATCTATTTGTTCCAGCATACATATATGGTTTTATGTTTATTTGTATAAAAAAAGTTATTCGCCCTTTCTATGTAGATGTATATGCCATCCAAAAATATATCGGAATTCGGAAAAAAACATATAGATGAACAAAATATTGTTTATAATAAATGCGTTAAGTACAGTTCCGTGTTCCAATAAAATTCCACGGTTCGAGGAAAACACTGCACAATAATATATTTTGTGTGGAATATAATATCGGGTCATTCATCATGTTCGGAATTTCCTTCAATGGCACTCCGGTAACAGTCCTCGGCCACAAAAAGAGACACATAATATCCTTATATATCATCCTAAGGTATTTGTAAATAAGTCTGCGCAATTTAGATCGAAGTTTCGCGTAAAATTTGTAAGTTTAGTTAACGGTATACTCGACTGTAGACAAAGACCTAAGTTTGAATCTCAGAAACTTAGTAAATCAATAATTAGTAGTAGTAATGGTTCGCTCTCTGAATCTATTATAATGATATAGGCGATACCAATGCCCAGCTGTGGGAAATATAAGGTTTGAACTATTCAAAACAATTCTAGAATGTCTTCACTGTTGCTCTTGTTTTGTAGCAGCTCCTTACACCAATAACGATTTATTTTAGCAACAATGTCAAACGCATATACTTCGTTCTCTTTCAATTGTTTTTATAAAAATATCAATTGATATTTTTTATAGACCTTTTATTTCTTTATCTGAAACAGCACTTGTTTAACTCTACGTAGAGAACCAATAGAGAAACTTAAAACTTGTTATTAAATTAGAATAAACTGTTCGATTTTATTTGAACAACAATTTTAACTTCAAGTTGTTTATAGATGAAGAAGAGTTGAAAAGCCAAGTAAAATGAGTGGGGGCAGCGGGGCCTTTCACAAACTTTATTTTTAGCGGTAATGAGTTCTGAAACGGGTAGCAGCGCCTCATAGGGAGCCAGAGGAAAAGTTCAGAAATCGAGAGTGTATTTCGGTCACCCCCTATTACGAAACTTACGAAAGTATTCTGTTTAACTGAAAAGAGAAGCTCTGAAGTTTAATATGGTAAAATTTCAGACCCTACAACTGAATATTATAACGTACATTTTTAAAATAGAGAAGGAAAGACAATTCACTTGATTTTAAGTGAAATACGCCAGCCATATAACATCTAAATAAGATGCACTGTTGTCCTATGACTTTGGATATTCGATAATCCACGGACTGAAACCGAAACGCGATTAATATTCACCACTTTTTCGTCTTTGGACTGTGGTTCGTGACGCGGACGGAATTTCGATATTTCCACAATACATTTCTTATTTCCAGATGAAGCCAAGCACGATTCAGAAAAAATATATGATAATCAATATATCACAAACCCGTTAATTATTAGGCATATAATTCCACTTTTACACCTCAATAAATAAATAAAAAACACTGGCTTGTGCCTAATGATAGAAGGAAGAATAATAGAGCAAAACTAAGAAATACAAAGAATGTGTTTTAATTTTCTTATATGTTAAAAGTCTTATTTATTTTATCATGAAATTAATTATACGTTTGAGCATTTTCAGATTTTGTAGGCTTTACAAAGCTTTTGCCGGTAGTAGAACCGGCGTTAAAGTACTTCACTGACAAAGTTAATGAGTAAACTTACTTGGAAACATATGACAATTTAATTATTTCATATTTTATTTGAAATACAAAGACTCTGTATAATTATTTCGAAGTATCCTCTCTTCTCTGTGCCCTATTTAAACCATGACGTACAAAGAATAAAAATGTCTGAAACATCGCTTTTTATATGATTCGCGTATTAATTACACAAGAAATTGGAGTAGTTATTAAAAATATTTTAACATTATCATATAAACGGTAACGAAGAACGGCAAAGACAGTCAAAAAACTCGCCACTTTTTTTTTAAATCACTTTTAACAGAAATGTATAATCTAAAATAGTAATTTACTATAGAAGAATCCGTTAGCACGTAAAGTACGTCTTCTACCAAACATTGTAATGAGTTTATTATCTTACAGGTGGATAAGTGATATTAAACTTCAGTTTGCGATTTGGGCTTTCGAACGTACCAGTTATTAATAGTTACCTAAAATATTACATCTGGTAACGTAGTACTGTTTTATTAATTTAGAATAGAATAGAATACGCTCATTCAGAAACAACATTTACTACTTAACATATTTGCTATTTAAATAAAACACAGTGACGGTTTAAAACGCGATATACATTAGTTAAACTTATTTCAAAATGATTTTAAACATGTCTCGACGTTGCATGTGCTTTTCAGCAACCGTAAATATATATCGCGTTTTAAACCGTTAACGTGTTTTATTTAAATGTGTACTAGTCGCATAAACTACAGACAGTATTCTATTTACTATCTCTAATTTTTATACCCATCACACTTGTAATGTCAGATAGAGGTAGAAGCTTAAGTTCCGTTTTCCCATTGAAATATTCGGCTTTTTTCGCGGCCTTTGTTTGCCGACATTTTGATTAAGCGATTCTCTGTATGAATAAAGTTTTTAATCTTTGTCCCTAAGCAGAGGACGGGAAGCGGTGTCATTCTTTGAACATTTTCGCTTCGCGATTATCACTTCTGCCAACTTTAGACTAAGCGGGAATTTTGTTATTGTAATTGTATGAGTGACTAATGTTTGCGATACCAATATATAAAAAAATAAATGGCTTTGCGTTCAACTATTAGCGCCATCTGTTGTAAGTTTTCTTACCTTATAAGGAGATTAAGTTTCATAAATGTATTTCGTTTACATTAAATCATTTGGAATTATGTTAATCATAATAATATTAATTTAGAATATTCACCTATATTTTAAGATTTTATAGAACCATTTCATTTTTTTTAAAGGAAGTTGTGTTTGTGATAACCGTTGCCTATAAATATCCGATTTCTTGTAAGAATAAACGAAGCTGTCTTCTGTGTGCGTGCGTTCAATAGGTAATAAAAAAGGTTCATTCTTCGCCGTGTCACAGTGCATAACTGCGTTCTCTAGTTAATCTAGTTATAATTCAGGGTTAAATAGATTCGGTCGTTCAAGGCACAAAAGTCTAATCAATTTTTGTGAACATAAAATTATATTAAATTACAATGCGGGAGAGTTCAAAAAATTAAAAAAATCGACCATGACATGTAGGATGTGTAGTTCGATTGGTTAGAGCAACAGCTCAGAGCGCTGTGGATGCCTTTAAGTCCTACCGTGACGTATTTTTTTTGGAATCTCCAATCTATTTTTAATTTGTGAAATCATAAGAAAAATAAGAATAATAAATCCTAATAATAAGATTAAATAATAAATAAATAGATTAAGAATAATACATTCTAATAATAATATTAAATAAATATGACGGCGCGACACTTGACATTTGACGTTTGCTGTCGACGACGTCGGAACAGAATGGCAGTATGACATATGTCAGCTGTCTGTCAGCCGCCATTCTTGCGGAACGTCACACCGGTGGAAGCGGGGCGGCCATCTTGTTCACTTCGGAATCAAGAACCGCCAACGCACCACGCACTCGACGAATCGCTTATTTTCGACGTCATCTTTAACAGTTTCTAAGTTGATTTAATTTTAGTATCGTTGTCAATGCCTAATTAAAGAGTGTTAGCGTTATATTTTGTTAATCTGTGAAGTTAAGGAGATATAAATCATTGGAGAATCAATTTGTGACTTTGTTCAAGTTTCTGACCCACGTAAAACATGGAAGATTCTGATACAGGCCATCCTGAGTCTATAAATACATTAATTTTAACTGTAATAATCTAGAATCACATATAAAAAAAATAAACTGAACATGTATGTTTGTACGGTATTGTATTTGTCTTTCACAAGTTAATTATAACGAAGCTTAATTATTGCTGGTAATATAAAATGTCATATCGAGCCCGACGCCACGTGAAATATTGCAGGTTCCGTAATGTATAGTAATCTGATAATAATCAAGGATTATATAAAATATATGACATATTTACACATTTTTATACTCTCTTTGGTGTAATGGTAGAAGTTGTATCAACGAGCCGTGGGTTCGATTCCCGGCGTCCAATATGTTTCTAAAATCTCTAAAAGTTTTTAGGTTATAAATTCTGACCGGGTTACGAACCACCGTTCACCGTGAATAAGACTTTTTAAGAATCTATCTTGTTAATATTTGTTTTTTATGTATTCGAACACAAAATAACGTGAAAAATTGCGTATTTTTTCTGACTAAACATTACAATAATGTACACATCTAAACAACTATTTTGCAAATGTTAATTATGGTTAATGTTTCTCAGACAGCTATGACGTAACAACACACACACATATTTATGTATGAATGTTTTCAGGTGTGACTAGTGCAGTGTGTCGTCGGCATGAGCAGCCCGGGCAGGCGGCGCTAGCGCAAGCGATGCTTCGTTTGCAGCATCTTGCGCGCCTGCTGCTGCTGTGTCTGGCGCACCTCTCGCCGCCTGGTATGTATTTCTATCCAAATTAAACATACAATGGACGTATTAGTGTGTGACAATGGATGTATGTTGTGTTTGCATATTGATTCTTTTTCATACAATCGACTTGACCAATTGTCGTGATAACATTGGATTAATATTAATAATTTCCTAAGATTTTAACTCACGTATTAAAATAGCATTTAATAACAGAAATACATAAAGTAAGGTCCGGTTATATCTTCAATTCGCCCACAGTAATCTAAAAAACAGGCAGACGTTATCTTTAAAAAAATCGTTCTCGCCATTCAATATGTCTGCTTCTATACTGTTTATAAAATTCTATAATCCCTATAAAATACATATTATGGATCTACTTTTTCAATTCTTATTTATAACTATCTATGCCCGCGACTTCTTTCGCGTGGAATAGTGACTTTGGGTAAAATTTTAATTATTTAGGCTGTTTATTAATCTATGTAATTGCGCATTTATCGCAGCCAATCTGTTGTAAGTGCTACTTTGCCGCAACACTCTCACCTCACATGACTCCCACTCCCACTCCTATTCCCAAAAAGCCAAAGGAGAATGTTTCATTGTTCTAGGTTCTAAAACCACGAATTTCCATACAAACCTCACCCTCACCGTTTTTACCCCTAACAATCCTTTTCATAATAAAAAGTAAGCCTAAGTTCTTTCTCAGAGTCTAGAATATCTATGTACCAGATTTCATTCAAATCCGTTCAGTAGTTTTGGCGTGAAAATATAACACACAGACAGACAGACAGAGTTACTTTCGCATTTATAATATTAGTAAGGATTGAACAAGTTACAACCTTTCGAAATTTAGGCCAGAGCAAACAGACTGAAAAACGGCGCTGTGTAATTTCCTTCGTGCAGCATTCAGCTGAGTCTGAATCACGAGGTGTCACAAAATTTCAGTTTTACGATGTTAGCTTTGAGTCTTCGTTTGTGTTTTTATTTATTCTTGAAATTGTACGAAGTTTTCCTTCTTTCTTTTAACATTACATATATTATTGATCATCGTAATAGTTTGATAGTACATAACGGTTTGTGTTATGATACCTATCACACTACAAAGTGGGGAAGGACAACGCATGCCCTAAGCCTTACTTAAGCGTTAATATTTAACGAAGCTCCGGCGAGCCCAGCGTCTAACTTTCAAAGATTACGAAAAATTCAGCCGAGTTTAGTTATTCATTTGGACCTTTCTTGTCCCTCAATTTCAATAAGGGCGTCCTCCGAGTTACAATTCTACTTGGGTCTCTTAGGGACCAGTATTAATCTGGGGATCGAATTTTCCGACACGAGGAAAATAGTAAAAAGATGTTATGGTGTCTATAAGTCGATATTGATTATCATTATTATTATATGCTATATATTGGATTGTTCGGAAAATCATTTCGTTTTTTTGGAGAACATGAAAGACAGTTTTCGTATAATATATTGCATAACCTATTATATATTGGCCATTCTGGTCCAACACCTTTTACCATCTCGTGTCGTTATTCGCCGATTTCCATCAACTAATGCCTTTATCGCATCTTTGTCAGCTTCGATCGGCCTTCCAGACCGTGGTGCATCTTCGACATCAAAATTGCCGGATCGAAATTTTGCATACCAGTTCTGGCACTGGCGTACTGTTAACACGCCTTCTCCATACACATCTCAATTTTTTTTATCGCTTGGACAGCATTTTTACCTTTTGTGAAGTAAATAATAAAATATGACGAAAATGCTGCTTATTGCTCTCCATATTTAAAAGGGCACCAACCAAAAACTACCGTGTAGAATTAATAGAACTTTTTCACACACAAGCCGTGCAATATCAGCCCTCAAGACATATAATGGTTATGCGGCTTAAGTGTGAAGTTGGTTTCGAAAAAACGTAATTAAGTCCTCTGATGGGAAAAAACTAGATTACTTTCCGAACAACCTATTATTTGTATATACCTTCAGACATTGTTATTGTTTCGGATCTTCTTCTGTATAAAAAAACTGTAGATTTTAACAGTCGTTTATCTTAATCAGTAACCGATAATATCCAACGACACATGATTGACTATTCGACTTACAGAAAAAAAACGCAACTGAATTTAAATTTAAATCAGACAACGTCGCGGGTACAGTTCGTTTTAAAATTATGTTATCCTTTCAGTTAACAGAACCCGTACTGAACTCAAGACATTTTCCCCTCGAACATTTATTTTTTCATTTTATTGACCGGTTTCGCGCAGAAATTGAAACCAGATAACTTTATCGCTTATACTTTTAGAGTTCGACGTTTTATGGATGGCCATTGTCGTATAGATTCAATGGACTTGTGAATTTTTGTGATTGAATACACATTGAAATATTGTGAGTCTCGTTAAATTCTCTGAGTAGCGCAATCAACAATTCATTGACTTTTACTTTATCGTCCATCGAAGTTTCGAGGGGCATAATTATCGACAAAGATGTGATGAAAATTATCGTTGAAACGAAGGCAATTCTTGTTGAAAGATGCCTTTTGTTTATAAGTTAATTAATTTTTTTATATTAAAAATCGACTTTAGTTTTTAAAAATTTTACGACACGGGCAGGAGTTGAACCGGCATCTACAGCGTTCCGTGCTTTTGCTCTAACCAATTGAGCTACCATGTCGGTTAGAGTAACAGCACTGAACGCTGTGGATGCCGGTTCAAGTCCTGTTCGTGTCGTTAATTTTTTTGTATAATTTAAAAATATAATGTAGATAAAAGATTTATTCACTTTTCGCTTGTTACTGTGAATAGCAGCTTATTTAGCTCAAAAGAAGATTTATCGTAATTTAAAAAATACTTGCCAAAAAATTATGTATGTTATGTACACGCGATACACGTACGAACCTAACGTACATGTATGTTTCTTCTCTTATATTTTTAGTTTTGTGGTATGTCTTGTAAATAAAAAAGGTGTAATAAATAAATAAAGGGTAGCAAATCGGTAATGCCTGGTACACTTTTCGGTTTTTGGCAATGTCATCTTATTTACTTAATCTATAATAATTTGTAATGTACCTTCCTTCTACATATTCGTAAACAACAGTGCTATTTTGGCAAGCTCTATGAAAAACTAACACCGCCTACAATTCGTATTACAATCGGGTTTTTCGAGCATTATGTACCACCAAGGCCAAATTTGGCTGGTAATACACATGCCCATTATTGGTTTTGGGAAATATCAGTTCGCTCACGTTTTCCGGAAAAGCGCGATCGTATTAAGTTAGCACAAAGATATACAGTAATATTGATGATTCCATTTCTTTGAATCGATATGTCTTAATCTGTATGTTTAAGCAACAATAGAGATGAGAGGAAAATATACTATCTATATAAAAAAAACCTTTTAAATTATGCTTACGTAATTTAGCACAAGGCACCATTTACTTTAATTTTGTTAAATTTATTTAAGGTTTAAAAAAAACAACATCATATCTGGTATTTGAAATTTCAAGTTCTTAGCATGGCTTAGCCAAAAAGTAGCATTTCTTTTAAAAACTGTTCTTATTTTGAAAACTATAATATTTTCACATGTTGCATATCTTGACAGTATATACATTAAAAATAGATTTTAGATTGAAAAAATTTACGACACAGGCAGAACCAATTGGGCTATCGTGCCCTATGCGACATTGTCGATTATTTTCTAACTTCTCGCTCGATCTGTAATATACATGAATCAATATCAATTAAAAAAAAAACTTGGGAAGGTCAGTCGTAATTCTTTTTCAATTTATTACCGATTTTTATTTATTATGTTCAAAATTCTACAACACTAAATCGCGTTACATATATAAAGAATGTTATACCTCATTATTTTATAGAACATGCAACCTTTGTTTTCGCGGTGAATAAAACTTGAAAAACATTTTTGAAATATAAGAATTTAATAAAATGCCAACGCGCTGGCTATTCGAGTGCAGAAAGCTATGAGTTTCCGAGCCTTCAGGCGTATCGCATATTTTAGAAGAGGCTCAACGTAAGCGGCTATTTGAGAGGCGAGAGGGATTGCCGCAGCCAGGTAGGCTTTCATAAAACCTAGGCTTACCTTACACACAAATCCGCAAAGCTTTGTTTCGGTAAATACCGAAGCCAGTTTCGCTTTAAGACTTTTGAATTCGCTGCCAATCGGTTACCGCAAATTTTTCGAATATATTATATTACAAAAACTGCTAGATTTTGTAAAAAAAAGTATTTGTAATGCTAAAATATAGTTGTCTTTCCGACTGTGACCTGTTTGTAGGTATCAAATGAACCGGTAAACGTTTGATGGTGAGAAATTTTCATAACACTAAGAAAATGATTAAGATGAATGAAAAAACTAAATAAAACACTTTAACGATTTAAAACGCGATATATATTAGTTAACCTTATTTCAATTATTTTAACTACGGCCCGACGTTTCAGAAGCTTTCCGGCAGCCGTGGTCACGGGAAGACTACTCGGGAAGAATAATTTTCAAATAAGTTTCACTAATATAATAATATATTGCGGTTTAAATATATACTACTCTCGTTAACTACAGACAATATTTCGTTTTTTATAAATCTTTTCTAGTAAACTTTGAGTAAGCTAGTAATAAACGCTTTTATTACGACTTAATTCAAGTACCTAATGGTAAATTTAGGAAATTGCAAATCGATTAAATAACATAATTATCGTTACTGAATATTCCGATAAGTGAATTTAGTTCATTTAGAGAAATATTTGTTAATCAATTACTGCTTAGCTATCGAAATCGTTATCGAATTGTATGTGGATTTAATTTTCTGTTACTAAGGCGGTATACTCACGAGCATACCGAATAAAATAATATAAATAATTGATTTTTAATGTATATTTTAATATTCAATGCCAAAATGTGCAATAACATTTGAAAATATTAACGCTTTCAAACATCAAACTTTGTAATTTCATCTTCAATGATTTTCTTAAGCTACAAAGCATAAGATATTAAACTTTAATACTCAAGTGTTAAGGTTGAAA